GGAGTATCTAAAAATATAAGATAAATATTAACTCAGATAAAGGGAGAAACTGACAGTGACACAATAAAAGTAGGGGACTTTAGCACCTCACATACATCAATGGACAGGTCATCCAGAAAGAAAATCAATAAAGACACAATGGTCTTAAGTGACCCATTAGACTAGATGGACTAAATATCTACAAACAGGAAAATACTCATTCTTTTCAGGAGCACATGGAACTTTCTCCATGATAGATCACATACTAGGCCACAAAACAAATCTCAATAAATTTAAGATTGAAAAACTGAAGAAGATTGAAATTAAATCAAGCATTTTTTTTTCTGATCACACAGGTATGAAACAAGAAATCAATTACAGGAAGGAAAATGGAAAAAAAATAACTGAACGCTTGAAGACTAAACCACATGCTACTAAAAAACAAGGAGTCAATGAAGAAATCAAAGCAGAAATCAGAAAATATCTTGAGATGAATGAACATAGAAACACAATTTTCCAAAATCTATGGGATACAGCAAAAGCAGTTCTAAGAGGAAAGTTTATAGTGACGTAGACCTACCTCAAGAAACAAGAAAAACTCAGACAAACAAGCTAATTTTCCCACCAAAAGAATTAGAAAAAGGAGCAAAGCCCGAAGTCAGCTGAAGAAATAAAGTAACACGTGTCAGGGTGAAAATAAAGAGGCCAAAAAAAAAATATAGAAAAGATCTATGAAATTAAAAGCAATTTTTTAAAAAGATAAACAAAATTGACAAACCTTTAGCCAGACTCATTAAGAAAAAGAGAGAGTAGACCCAAATAAATAAAATTAAAAATGAAAGAGAAGTTACTATTGCTATCACAGAAGTACAAATGGTGGTAGCAGAATACTACATACAGCTGTACACCAACAAACTGGACAATGCAGAGGGGATGAATATTCATAGAAACATCTTGTCTTCCAAAACTGGATCAGGAAGAAATAGAAAATTTGAACAGAACAACTGTTAGTATTGAAATTGAATCCATAATCACAAATCACCCAACACAGAAAAGTTCATGACTGGACACCTTTACAGGGAATTCCATAAAAAATTTAAGAGTTGATATGCATCCTTCTCAAACTATTTCAAAAAATTGAAGAGGAAGGAACACTTCCAAATTCATTCTTTGAGACAAGGAGTATCCTGATACCAAAAGCAGACAAAAAGTCTACAAAAAAAAAATTACAGGCCAATATCCTTGATGAACACAGATGCAAAAATCCTCAACAAAATTATTAGCAAACCAAAATTCAGTAATACATGAAAAGGATCATATACCATGGTCCAGTGGGATTTTTTCCAGGGATACGAGGATGGTTCAAAATCCACAAATCAATCAATGTGATGCGATACACTATATTAACAGAAGAAAAGATAAAAATCACATGGTCATCTCAGCTGATGCAGAAAACATATTTGACAAAATTCAATATCCGTTCATGATAAATACTCTAAACAAAGCTGGTATAAAGGGAACATAGTTAACATAACGAAGACCACTTATGATAAACCCACACCTAACATCATATTCAATGATGAAAAGCTCAAAGCTTTCCTCTAAGATCAGAAATATGATGAGGATGTACACTTTCACCATCTCAACTTAACATAGTAACGAATGTCCTGGCCACAGCAATCAGTTAAGGAAGAGATGTAAAAAGCATCCAAGTTGGAAGGGAAGAAGAAAAACATAATTATAATAATTCTAATGACATAATAATATGTATATAGAACACCTCAAAGACTCCACCAAAAACGATCAGAACTAACAAAATAAATTCAATAAAGTTGCAGGATGTAAGATTTATACACAGAAATCTGTTCAATTTCTATATGCTCATAATGAACTCATAATGCTCATAGTGAAAGAGCAAGTAAGAAAACAATCCCATTTACAATTGCATCAGAAAGAATAAAATCCTTAGGAATAAATTTAACCAAGAAGGTGAAAGACTTGTAGCCTAAAAACTATGAGACTTGATGAAAGAAGTTGAAGATGACACAAATAAATGAAACACTATCCTGTGTTTGTGGATTGGAGGAATTAACATTGTTAAAATGTCCATACTACCAAAAGCAATGTATAGATTTAATGCAATCCCTGTCAAAACATCCATGACATTTTTCACAGAACTAGAATGAATGATTCTAAAATTTGCACAGAGCCACAAAAGATCCCAAATAGCCAAAGCAATCTTGAGAATAAAAGAACAAAGCTGCTACTAAACTGATTTCAAAACTATAGTACAAAGGTACAGTAATCAAAACAGCATGATACTGGCACAAGAAGAGACATAGAGATCAATGGAACAGAATAGGGAGCCAAGAAATAAACTCAGGCACATGTGGTTAATTAATCTATGACAAAGGAGGCGATAATATACAATGGGAGAAAGACAGTCTCTTCAATAAGTGGTGTTGGAAAAATTGGACGGTTACACATAGAGTGCAATTAGAATATTGTCTCAACCATATACAAAAATAAACTAAAAATGGATTAAAGATCTAAATGTAAGACCTGAAATCGTAAAACTCCTAGATTACACAGACAATATGCCCTCTGACACTGGTCTTAGCAAACATTTTTATAGCTCTGTCTCCTCAGGCAAAGGAAACAAAAGAAAAAATGAGCAAATGTGATGTAGTCTAACATGTTTGCACAGAGAAGGAAACAGTCAACAGATCAGAGGCAATCTACTGACTGGGAGAAGATATTTGGAAGTAATATGTCTGATAAGGGGTTACTATTCAAAATATAAAATGAATTCATACAGCTTAATATCAAAAAGGAAACAAAAACAAACAACCTGAGCAGAAGAACTGAATAGGCATTTTTCCATGGAAGACATACAGATGGCCAACAGGCACATGAAAAGATGCTCAGCATCACTGATCAGGGAAATGCAAAACAAACCATCATGAGGTGTCACCTCAGACCTGTCCAAATGGCTATCATTAAAGAGACAAGCAATAACAAGTGTTGGTATGGATGTGGAGAAAAGGGAACCCTGTCTGTGCACTGCTGGCAGAAATGTATATTGGTACAGCTATCATGGAAAACTATATGGAGGTTTCTTAAAAAAAATTAAAAAGAAAACTACCATATGATCCAGCACTCCTATGTGTTTATCTGAAGAAAATGAAGAGACTAATTTGAAAAGATACACGCACCCCAAAGTTTATTGCATCTTTGTTTATAATAACCAAGATCTGGAAGCAACCTAAGTGTCCATCAACAGATAAATGGGTAAAGACTATATGGTATGTATATACAATAGAATATTACTCATCCATAAATAAGAATGACATTTTGCCATTTGTGGAATTTGGATGGACCTGGAGGCTATCATGCTTAGTGAAATAAGTCAGACAGAGACAAATGTTGTACATTTTCATTCACATGTAGAATCTAAAAAAAAAATGAATGAATATAACAAAACAGAAGTAGAGTCCCAAATTACAGAGGACAAACTAGTGGCTACCCGAGTAGTGGGGTGGAAGGAGGCGCAGAACAGGTGAAGGGGACTAAGAGAATCTACTGGGTACAAAATAAATTAACTTGCAAGGAAGTAATGCACAGCACAGGGAACTTCGTCAATATGTTATAATAACTTTATCAAATGTATCACAACATGGAATCATTATGTTATATACCTGAAACTAACGTACTCTTGTAAGTCAACTATTCTTCAATAAAAAAACCCCAAGCCCTAACAGCAGCCTATCAGGCCCAACGTGATTTGACGTCTGCCCCCAATTCTGACCTGATTTGCCCCTTCCTAGTGCCCATTTGTTTCCGCTGCTACTCCTCAGCACAGAATACTCACATCTTTAAGCCTTGGTGTTCATTGTTCTTTCTGGCGGAATGCTCTTTACGCAGCTATTCAGAGGATCCACTGTCTCACTTTCTTTAGCTTCTTGCTCAGACATCACTTTCCTATCGAAAATAGTACCTATTTGTCATTTTCTATCTCCTCAGCTTTAGTTACCTTCATGGCATCGATTAATCCTTGACACCATAGTCTACTTTCTAATACGTTTGTCTGCTTACTGCTCATTTCCCCAATTAAATGCAAAGATTTTATTTTGTTTACTGTGTCCTCGGTGCTTAGAGCAGTGTCTGGTGATGGAATAGGTGCTAAATAAGTACTTACTGAATAAACAGATGAAGAAATGTATGGAAAGCTAGAAATGGTGATAGTATGATATAATTATATTCAAAGTAACTGAGAAAATGTAAGTGCCTTTCTCCAACAAATGAATTGTGAGTGTCTACTATGTGTCTGGAGCTGTGATGAGTGCTGGAGCTATAAAGATGTGTGGAAAAAGCTCCCTGGGACCTGAGTTCTCTTATGTTCCAGAGTGATAAACCTGCAAACTTACGTGTCGGTCCCTGACACACCAGGGATACAGCGTTTTCACTGGAATTCGTTACACGGCCTTTCCGTCTTATCTCTTTATTCTTTCTGGAAACATAGGCCTTTATAATAGTTTGATCAACCCACAGTCAACCAGGATGAAATCAGCCACTTCATTTTGCCCTCAAATGAAAGCAGTGACACTTGAGGTTCTAGGTTCTGTGATTGCGCAGAGGCAGTGTTTCTAATCATTCTCTTTAGACAAATGTTCGTTACATCTCTGACTAGTCCATTAACTTCTATCACGGAGCTCACAGACATCAAGATCTTCATTTAAAACAGAGAGAAGCCAACGACCAAACAAAACAGTGCAGCACAAGGTCTACGTAAGGACAGCTTGTGTGACTGGCACAGTGGCTGCCTTAGTTGTCCTGGGCTGCTGACACAAAGTACCTTAATCTGGGTGGCTTCAAGACAGAAATGCATCTCTCACTGTTCTGGAGGCTGAAAAATCCACGATCAAAATTCCAGTCAATTTGCTTCCTGGTGACGACTCTTCCTGGCTGGTAGATGGCTGTTTTCTCACTGTATCTGCACATTGCCTTTTCTAGATGAGCACAGATGGGAAGAGAGAGAGAGGGAAAGAGAGAGAGAAAGTCCTCTTTCTTATAAGGCCAGTAACCCCATCATGGAGTTTCCAACCTCATGACCTAATCGAACTTTATTACCACCCAAGCCCCCATCTTCAAACACCATCACATTGGCGATTAGAGGCACAATATATGAATTTTGAGGGAACACAAGCATTCAGGCCATACATCATCTGGCACAGTCAATATGGCTTATTATATTAAGTGGGAATTATAGGTGTGCTGGTTGACGGAGAAGGGCCTGGAGAGCCAAGAAGAGCCTGAGAATAAGGGGAGGGATTTGAGGTCTGCACAGGCTCCCTGGGGTCAGAGCTTGGGGAAGTTCTGGAAGCACCATAGCACGGGAAGTCATCGTAAGTCAGAGAGTAAGAAATCAGCAAGACAGAAAATACCGGTACAGATGAGAAAAGAGCTGTGTTTTGAAACAAAGACAGTATCTTGGGCAGCAAATCTTTTTATACACGTGCTGCTTGGATTCAGGGAAGCCTGACTCACAAGGGACACTTCCTGATTGTTCACTTCTTGAGACCAGGAGCTAGTGAGACATATAAAGAATGGGTCACAACTTACTCTGGTTTGAGCGAGGGTTTGCAAAGAGAAGTAAAGGCAAAAATGGACAATGCTTACCTGACCTATCACTGAGGAGGTTACAATTTATTTATTGCATTTGCAAGTAACGTCTATACTTCTAGACTCCATTGGCATCTCAAACATCCCAGCCATTAACCTTAAATCAGAAAGTATTCTGTAAGGGAAAACTCTATGCCAAAGACCCAAGAACTAGGAGAAAATAGTTGTTTATGATGCTTCTCTTTCTTTAAAAAATTTCTTTTGACTTGTTAATAAACTACAGAGAAAATTTGTCTTGTGGTCTGTTTATTCTACTACTGCAGATTAGGAATGTGGTTTTAAGCAAACTATTAATTTTAACACAATTATATTTCAGTAAAGCAGCCTCTGTTTCCTACGGAGTTTATTGCAGTGGGGGGTTTACTTGAATTAAGAATAGTTTTGTGGCACCGTTTGTCACACTTTATAATAGATTAAATTAAATAATAGAATGCAAACAGATTGAGAAAGATCTTAAAAGTAATTTGTCTGTGCTGTGTTTGAATCCCATCTACAATATCCTTGTCACATGATCACCCATTCTTGTGCTGGAACGCCTCCTACAATAGAGACTCACTTTCTTACAAGGCAGTTCATTTCCTTTTTTGGACAACCCTGAATTTTACATAGATATTTCTTATATTTTGTCAAAATTTGTTTGGTGCTGTCACCTAAAGACAGTTCTATCTCATGGGAGAAGAACTAACATCTCTCTAGATGCTTTCTGTGATATTTCCTTCTCCTATCCTCCGCTTCTTTTCCCAATTTCCCATTTTCCCTTTATTTTTGCTTGTTATCTTATGTACTTGATTTCTGAGTTAAAGAGAAAAACAAAATGGAAAATTTAGACCTCCTAGAAGTGAGTAATAATGATAGTTCCATCAAAAACTATAAGCTACGCTCTAAGATTATTCAGGAAAAAACACCTGAAATATGTTTATTTAAAAAAAGTTTGAAAATACTGTCTTTATTCCATTGTATATTCTTGCCTCTTTTGTCGAAGATTAGGTGACCAAAAGTTTGTGAAAAATACCATATGAGATCGCTCATATGTGGAATCTAAAAAACAAAAACAAAACAAAACAAATACAAAACAGAAACAGACTCATAGACATAGAATACAAACTTGTGGTTGCCAAGGGGGCGGGGGGCGGGAAGGGACAGACTGGGATTTCAAAATGTAGAATAGATAAACAAGATTATACTGTATAGCACAGGGAAATATATACAAGATCTTATGGTAGCTCACAGAGAAAAAATGTGACAATGAATATATATATGTTCATGTATAACTGAAAAATTGTGCTGTACACTGGAATTTGACACAACATTGTAAAATGAATATAACTCAATAAAAAATGTTTAAAATAAATAAATAAATAAGTAAATAAAAATTAAAAATTTAAAAAAGGTTGAAAATAAATGAGCTAAGTGTCACTTAAGAAACTAGATAAAATGCAACAAAATGTATGTAAATAAAAGACAGAAATGTATGAATATAAAAATGGAAATTAATGAAATGGAAAACAAAATAAATTTTATACTTTATTATATTTGATCAACAAAATCCCAGATTTTTTTAAAGAGCAACACAATAAAGAAACTTATGGTAAATCACTTAGGAGAGTGTGTGAGAGAGAAAACACAAAAGATGTTAGGATGAAGAAAGGAAGATAACTAAAGATACAGTTTTAAAAAATGTTGAGATAATAGTATGTATATATTTGCATTAAAATTAAAAAAAGAAAATGAAATGAATATTTTCCATATATATATGTGACCATGCCCATTAAGAGTTAGCAGATAATAAGACTGGGTGAAAAGTTACAGGAGAAATTAAATAATCAAATATCTAATACTTAAATGAATAACAGATCTTCATAAATTCTACCTAACCATCACATCAAAGATATGTTATGCTATTATTTAAATTTTAACCGCTTAGAAAAGCATAGAAAGTTATGGAAAACTGGCTAATACAGTCTATGTAGATTACATGGTCCTGATGTAAAGCTGGATAAGGTCAGCCCAGCCAAAGACCAATAGTGCATATCATTATAGATGCAAAACTACAAAATCAAATCAAACGCAGCAGTATATTAAAAGAATTACACATTATGATCATATAAATGTACTTCTAGAATACAAGATTGTTGAACATGTGTTATTTAGTGTTCACATTAATGGAATAAAGAATGCCAAACAGACTGGGTAAAAGAAAGCAAAAATGTTTAAAAACAAAACATGTAAAACTCTAAAAGTAATATCTTTATGAACTGTGCAGTGAAAGGTACAACTCTGTAAGCCACAAACACCCAGGAGACATAAAAGAAAATCTTCATAGATGTAAACAAATGC